CCTAAAAAACCTATTAAGGTGGCCCAACCTAACCCTACCCAAACTCTTAAAGCTGGCCCTAACCCTAACCCTAAGGCTGGCCCTAACCCTAACCCTAACCCTAAGGCTGGTCCTAACCCTAACCCTAACCGTAAGGCTGGCCCTAACCCTAAACCTAACCCTAACCCTAAGGCTGGCCCTAACCCTAACCCTAACCCTAAGGCTGGCCCTAACACTAACCCTAACCCTAACCCTAAGGCTGGCCCTAACCCTAACTCTAACCCTAACCCTAAGGCTGGCCCTAACCCTAACCTTAACCCTAAGGCTGGCCCTAACCCTAACCCTAAGGCTGGCCCTAACCCTAACCCTAACCCTAAGGCTGGCCCTAACCCTAACTCTAACCCTAACCCTAAGGCTGGCCCTAACCCTAACTCTAACCCTAACCCTAAGGCTGGCCCTAATCCTAACCCTAACTCTAACCCTAACCCTAAGGCTGGCCAGTATAATAGGTGGATGGAGAAAAAGAAAAGGGAGAGAGGTTGAAAAAGAGAGGAAATGAAGAGCTATGATCGACAGAGAAGAAGAGATGAGAGAGAGTCATACTAATTAAGATGGCAAGTATAAAAGGGGAGAGATGTATTAGTCAGACAAACACACACACACACACTCAGACACACACACACACACACACACACACACACACACACACACACAGACACATACAGACACATACACACACATACACACACACACACACCCCATTCTCTCATGATCTCTCTGACAGTGGGCCGATGCATTAAGCAGCATATGGAAATAATAGACTCTCTGGGATCAGCCACACACACATAAATCCACCGAACTTTTCTATCCAACACTGAGGTGTCTGTGTGTGTGTGTCTGAGTGTGTCTGAGTGATGGTGCGTGTCCGTGTGTGGTCTGAGTGGTGAGTGTGTGTTGGTGTGTGTCTGAGTGTGTGCTGGTGTGTGTGGGGGTAGTGTAGTCTGAGTGTGTTGTGGTGTTTGTGTGTGTGTGTGTGTGTGTGTGTGTGGTGTGGTGTGTGTGTGTGTGTGTGTTTGTGTGTGTGTGTGTGTGTGTGTGTGTGTGTGTCTGAGTGTGTCTGAGTGTATGTCTGAGTGTGTGTGTGCGTGAGGGTGTCTATGCACGTGCGAGTCAGGCCAATAAAGAACTACTGGAGACAGTTTGAGCATTCTAAGGGGAGTAAGGAGAGCAGTTGGACGTCTAACCCTCCACACCTGATATATTACTCCAATATAGGCCTATTGAAGCTCATAGTACTGACTGTAAATCACTGACTATAACCTAACCCCAGAGGGACACACACACACACACACACACACACACACACACACACACAAAGCAATAACAAAGGGCAGAAGGAGATCAGGTACTAAATTACCTTACTTCCTCACAGCGTTAATGCTATAAATACCTTCCGCATGCTTCGGTTCGGCCTTCGCCTAGCCGAGAACCGAACGAGTGTGTTCGCATACTCCCTTAAAAGACCTTCGGTTGAAAAACGAGAAAAAAGCATCAATAGTGCTGTTTGTCCATTTTGATACGCGTAGCCACTTCCTCAAAATTGTCTGAATTAATTTAAGATAAGTCAAGACATCTGTCACAAATGTTGACGTTTTTGTAGAGGAGATCTTAGTAGCGCAATTTTACATCTAACTAAGATGTTTGGTGGAGTATTTCTCAAGTGAAAACATGTGCATGAATACGATTCCTCTCTCGTTGAATGACAATAAACACTTGAAGAATCCCTACTGCTGACCAATCACCTGACGAAGAGGCGTAGACTTTGGATACCGACTTTGGCTTTCCTCAAGAAAATGATCTGTGTGCACGAACAGCCGATAAAACCCTTGCCGAAGACCAAAACAAACAAAAATGTCGTCATAATATATGCACAAACTGTTCCGAACTGTTTCACACACACACACACACACACACACACACACACATACACTCACACACAGCCACAGACACACATACACACAGACACAC